CTCCCATGGGCTTGGTTTGTCACCAGCCCCGAGCATGGTAGAAGGGTGGGCAGCACTTGTTCCTCGGACCACGGAGCTGCTGTGAGACACTAGCCAGCCCTGAGCTCAGCCCGGCCTCGAGGAGGGAGCAGCGGTCTCCCACAGGATCGCTAAAATGGTCGTTTGTTGCACCACCATCCAAGCCCACTGTTAAGAAAGATGGCGGTGGAAGAAATAGTTTACCCAGAGTTATCGCTGGGCTTAAAATGGGGCACTGTGATGAAAAAGAGGGGCGCCTTCCAGCACACTTGGTGGCTGGCCTGTCAAATAAATCCAAAGTTCAAAGTTCAAAAGTGCCTCTAGATTAGTGGCCTTGCCATCAGAAACTACTCACTCCATCAACTGGGCTTGTTGTTGTTGTTGTTGTTTTGTTTGGGGGGGGCTTGTACAACTCTTATCACAATCCATGCATCCATCCATTGTGTCAATCTCATTTGTACATTTGTTGCCATCATCATTCTCAAAACATTTGCTTTCTGCTTGAGCCCTTGGTATCAGCTCCTCATTTTTTTCCTCTCTCTCCGCTCCCTCATGAACCCTTGATAATTTATTAAGTATTATTATTTTGTCATATCTTGCACTGTACGACGTCTCCCTTCACCCACTTTTCTGTTGTCCGTCCCCCAGGGAGGAGGTTATATGTAGATCCTTGTAATTGGTTTCTCATATCTTGCACTGTACGACGTCTCCCTTCACCCACTTTTCTGTTGTCCGTCCCCCAGGGAGGAGGTCATATGTATATCCTTGTAATTGGTTTCCCCTTTCCACCCCACTCTCCCTCCACCCTCCCGGTAGCGCCACTCTCACCCAAAGGGATCATCTGCCCTGGATTCCCTGTGTTGCCAGTTCCAATCTGTACCAGTCTAGCCAGATTTGTAAGGTAGGATTGGGATCATGATAGTGTGTGTGTGTGTGTGTGTGTGTGTGTGGTGGTGGTGGGGAAGCATTTAGGAACGAGAGGAAAGTAATGTGTTTCATCATTGCTACACCGCACATTGACTGGTTCGTCTCCTCCCCACAACCCTTCTGTAAGGGGATGTCCAGTTGCCCACAGATGGGTCTTGGGTTCCCAATCTGCACTCCCCTTCATTCACAATGATTTGGTTTTTTTATTCTTTGATGCCTGATACCTGATCCCTTCGACACCTCATGATCACACAGGCTGGTGTGCTTCTTCCATGTGAGCTTTGTTGCTTCTGAGCTAGATGACCGCTGTTTACCTTCAATTCTTTAAGACACTAGACACTATATCCTTTGATAGCCGGGCTCCATCAGCTTTCTTCACCACATTTGCTTATGTACCTGCTTCATCTTTAGCGGTTGTGTCGGGAAGGTGATCATCATGGAATGTCAGTTTAATAGAACAAAGTGTTCTTGCACTGAGGGAGTACTTGAGTGGAGGCCCAATGTCCATCTGCTACCATAATACTAAACCTATAAATATATGCACATAGATCTATTTCCCCATCCTCATATATAAATATATTTATATCTGTACATGCTTTTATTTAAACCTCTATAAATGCCCTTTGCCTCCTAGTTCTTTCCTCTTCCATCAGCTGTCTATGGAAAGTCTGCAAAGTGCCCCAGCCTCTTCTGCATGTAGGACAGAGAAAAGCTGGAGACCCGGTGCTCTCCTGTCTCCATGGAGGTTCCTTCGCAGCAGCAGCTGGGACTTCTGTGCCAGAGGCGGGAACAGCCATCGACTGTGGCCTTTCCCTTAGTCTTGACATCTCTCGCCACCTTCCAAGCCTCACAAGCTTCCAACACTTGCAGACAGTCAAGGTATAAAGGATGTCCTGACATGTTAAGAAAGAGGCATAGGGGTCACCGAGGCTGTTGGGCACATTCTGCTTCTTGATCTGGACTGGGGTTACTTCAGTGTAAATGTGAAAACGCTTCCAGCTGTAGGTGGAGGGCCACATCATGCTTTCTGAGACACACACTCATGGAAAAAAACATGGTCCTATGCGGACTCCCTGGGTGGTGCAAACAATTAAGCACGTGACTCCTAGCCAAAAGGTTGACGGTTCAAACCCACCCACCCAGAGATACCTCGGGAGGCAGGCCAGCTCTTCTGCTTTTGAAAAGTCACAGCCTAGAAAATTCTCTGGAGCACAGTGCTACTCGTGTACAC